TTCTTTAGATTTCTCAGGACCAACCAAAACAGTAAGTGACAATGAATATGGAAGAAAGAGATATATTTATGTCTGGTTTTCTGTAATACTGTAATTCAACTTCATTTATATTCAAATTCAGAAATACTTGTTAAAATCGGTGTCTCTAACTACTAACTGCATATTTCATTATCAGATATTACTGTGCCTTCCATGTTCAGGAATGCAACAAAAACACTGTGGCAGAAATTGAAATCCTAATTCAAGCTGCCTTGGTGTCAAAGTATCAAAATCACTCCATTATTATCCAAACTGTGGAAGTGATGATCAGACATATAGGTGAGCTATATCTCTGGTACAAACAAAAACCTAGGTAAGTTATGGAAGACTAACAGTATTTTTTTTTTCAGTGCCAAAAAACTGTTCAGAAGACACTAGCTTCACAATCTATGGAAAATACATATGGCCTGAAACATTTCCACAAAGAATCCAAGTAATGGGATGCATCACGCCAACATCAGAGAGAGCTTTCAGACTCTGGTAAGACATCATCATATTCCTAATCAGCAGATTTAATATTTGACCAGAGGCAATGGCGCTTTAATAGCACTGTTTATCAGACTGTTAGACTGCTTTATTGCTATATAAGAGATTATTACACAATATCCCCCATATAATAACAAAGTAGGCTAATATTTGTTTGTCAATGAGACAAGCTTTAGACAAGCTATGAAACATCAATTTATCTTGATAATGAAATATGGGGAAAAATAGGGTGTTATTTCTATCTTCTTTTAACTTGTTAAGATCTCTGTGATCTTTGTCAGAACTGCACACAGACAGTTCAGCAAGATGAGGAAAGCTCCTCATATAATGCCCTGTTCCAGCTACTCCACCCACACCATGTGCAATTCTGACCCCACACACGTAAAACTGACAGATCCCTGCCAGCCCACAGCTCAATCTGAAAAAAAAAATCAATTTCCTTTAAGTTGATTATTAGTGTAATGACAAGCCTCAGTTTTTTATGCTTCAATGATTGCATTATCACGACACGGAAATGACTGTGTAATAGGGGTAATCAATTTTATGATCTCTTAGTGAAACATTAAGATTACGCTAAGGTTTATTAAAATCATTATTGGCCCAGGACAGGGTTGTTTTTTCTTCTTCTTTCTTTTTTCTTCCAGAAGCCAAGATATAGATACAGTGCGACTTTGTGCAACAACTTCAATTAGATCAGACCATAAAGATGTTTGATGTTCTCTTTTTATTATTTCCTCCTCCCTTCAATTCTCTGGTCTGTTTAGTAAGTTAGACATTGAAACTGACACGACCAGATGGGCTGATCCTAACATGAAGAACTGCCACCAACATCTATCAATATCGGACCTTAACAATATCACTGTCACTCCTGGTAAGAGGATCGACGTGCAGTCTGTTTTTATTCCCATTTCTTCACAACTTCAACACAAGCCAAAAACCCCTCTGGTGTTAATGATTTCCAGGTAATGCGGCTGAGGTTGTGGTGGTGATTCAGGACCTTGTAGTTATTCAGTTAGGCAATAGCTCGGAGCTCTCGCCTTCTCACCTGGAATCTGTGGTGGAAAAGCTCAGTGAAGTAGTCGATGAAAGCATCGTTAACTCTGCGGTTGGAGCCAACATCGTCACTATTGTTTCTGATATTCTGCTTTCCAACACTGATGTTACTCCGGTTTCAAACACGTAAGGAAAAATGAAAGTGTGACTCCTGCCCAAGTTTGATGAGCTGTGCATTTCTGAATCCAGTTCTTATTTACATGCTAATCTAAAAAATTTTCTTCCTTGCAAAAAGTTTCCTCAATCTGACAGACAGGATGGCGGATAATATGATATTCCAAGGTGAATCTGCTAATTTAACTGCTCCCCCACTGGGATTTTCCATGATCAATGTGGATCCAGAGGAATTCAGTGGTCTCACCTTTGGTGCATCAATTGTTTCACCAACTAAGAGCCCTGAGGTGAGAGGTTGGAAATGCTCTAATGAAGAGGGAAGTGGATTTGACATATTAGAAATTTCCCTTAATTACAGAAGTTATAAAATATGTTAAAGTAAATGAAGTGCTATATTTGTATTAACCCAATGCGAAAAACAAAAACAGTTTCCACCTGACTGCTTATAGGATAGATTTAGTTGCAATAATGCCCTTGAAAACACAGGTGATTGTTCTGGCAAACAGATATTGTGGCCTCAAGCAGTCATGGCAGATTGGGTTTTAACAGGAAAAGCTCCATGATCCATACAGGCAGTTTTAAAGCAGTGTGCAGCAATGTGACCCTGTTTTATTTTTCTTTCTCAGATGTTTGTCGACCAGGGCTTTGTGAATAAACCACATCCCACAGCAAATGCAACAATCTCTTTGCCTTCTGCACTCAATGATTTTTTCCCTACTGGAGGGAGAAATACAACTCGTGTTCAGTTTCAGTTTTATGGAACACACGAGCTTTTTCAGGTACTGTATTCTTCCCGTGCTATTTGTTACATTGTTTGTTAATTGTTGTTCTTGTTATTCTTTCTTCTTCAAAAATCTACAGTTTATTAGGTGTAATATTTACAACTTTGACTTTGGAAAGGTTGCTTTGTTTTTGAAATCTCTATAAATCCATAAAGCTGGAGCGAGGAGAAAATAAACCTAGCGTTGCATAAGAACACATAACACAACCACTCACAACTGTAACTAACTAGAGAAAATCAAAAAAATATATCTGGCTTACTGTAATAGGGTAAATTAGAGGTTTCACAGGGATATTAAGTGCCACATAACTTCTTGGCTGGATGCAGTGACCCCCTGTGGTGCCAGACAACCATTTTTTTTTACCATCACATAAGAGAGATAGCTAGATTCTGCTATCTTTGGATAGGGTCAGATTAGTTATTTCCCTTTTACATGTTTCATACTAACTTTATCCACGGGTTCTCGACTTGATGTTTACCCTACAAACACATTATCAGTTTAATCTACAGTATAGCTTATTTTGCAGGCTTAGCTTGATTCTACAGAACACTACCCCCCCCCCCCCCCCCCCCCCCCCCCCCCCTCCCACACACACACAAGTGGGAAGTGCAATCGGATGCAGTTTTACTGGTGCATGGTGGACCTGCATGGCTCTGTCATCCTGGGTAAAACTGGCATGATCTGGTTGGAACTGGAATCAAAATAACAGCAGTTCCTTTTACTGGACAGCAGGAAGGTGTTAAGTTGTGAAACCAGTTGAGTTCATACACATATTGTTAGAGTAAACCAGTTGAAAGCACATGATCTCAGTGGCAGAACTCTACATATTTCTATATTTACAAATTAAATTAAGAATTTAGTACATCTTCAATGGCCTTTACAAAACCATGGCCCCACTGTTGTTGCTTACTACGATTCATTAATCTGGTTGTTGATGTGCTGGCCATTTTATTTTAAATAGGACCTGGACATAAACAATGCGCAGAGCAACTGGACGTTGAACTCATATGTAGTATCTGCCAGCATCAATGACAGCAAAATCATGAACCTGGAAGATCGAGTAGTGGTGACCTTCAGTCATCAAATTCCTACAAAGGTGACAAACAAGTGCTGTTCAGTTTGTGAGTGATATGAAAGTGTATGAGACTCTAATATCATTCTACCTCTCGATATTTACAGCCACGGGACAAAGTACAATGCATGTTTTGGGATTTTTATAAGAATGGTGAGTCAAAAATTCTTTATTATTGGATTTAGTTGATTGACTGTAACTCCAAACCCCTAAATTTAATAAAGCTTTCAAAACTTTTGAAGCTGTGCATCTGTTGATAAGAAGATTTGTGTTTGTGTGCTTGTGTGGGTGAATCTTTGCTGGTGTGTGTGTGTGTCAGGTGGGCGGGGTGGTTGGAACAGCAGCGGCTGTGAAACCGAGAGTATTTCTCCATATCAGACCAGTTGTCTCTGTGATCACCTCACACATTTTGCTGTGCTCCTGGTGAGTCATTGGTCTGTTTTTTGTTTTATAGATTTAACTAGAAAACAAACTCCTACAGGCGCCAACATACTGTGTGCAATCTGGTCAGTGCTGGCTGCATGGGTATTTTTCTGCCAGCAATGTGAGATAGTGGTATTAAAGTCACCATGTGTAAAAATAAAGTTGTTGTCATATTATTAGTTTTCCAATAGCTGTGAGAGGTAAAGCCCTGCTCTCCGTGCCTGTGTCTTCTTGATGCGTTTGGGTTTTGTACTTTTTGTGTTTCAGAATGTCGAAAGAACTCCTTTCAGTAAGGTTAATGAACAGATTCTGACAGTGATATCATATATTGGATGTGGTATATCCTCCATCTTTCTGGGCCTCACTCTACTCACCTACCTTATTTTTGAGTAAGTCACTGATACTGATGCTACAACTACTGACTTTGCATTGCAATAGATTTGAGCATATGAAAAGTCTATGGCCACCTACATTTGTGGTCAGAAGTTTCCATACACTGATCGTGGGCACAGATTTCATGGTATTTTGGGCCTTCTAATTATTTCTTTGAAGTGCTTTTTTTTTCCAGGGTGAAATGATTGTACAGCGTACATCTTTGATGACTTTACAAAACAACACCAATGTGAGTGATTCTGAAGGTTCTACAATGTCGAATTCAAGACACATCAGCTTCTTGTTATTGATCATGATTGGCTGGTAGTTCTTAAACTTGTGGTGTACAGTCATTCCAAAGAAATCATTAAAAGCCCAGAAGTTACCCAAATTAACATAACAGTCGTGCTCATAATGAGTGTATGGGAATGTCTGTATATACTGAAATCATGTAGATAAGAGATTAAATCACAGTGATAATTTTGGAGTGACTTTTAAAGCATCAGTCTGCACTGTGGTCTCATTATCCATTTATTTAATACAGGAAGCTGCGACAAGATTACCCATCTAAGATACTCATCAACCTGTCATCTGCACTGCAGGGGCTGAGCATGCTCTTCCTTCTAAACACTTGGCTCTCATCTTTCTCCAATTATGCTCTTTGTATTGCTACTGCTGCAACGCTCCACTATTTCATGTTGGCCTCCTTCACGTGGATGGGCCTGGAAGCTGTACACATGTATCTCGCATTGGTCAAAGTCTTCAACACATATATCCCCTCTTATATCCTCAAGTTCTGTATTATAGGATGGGGTAAGGAAACGTTTCTATGTGCCCCTTTCTGTAGAAACAAAATTGCTCTGCCAGGTGGTTTTAACTGACACATTGGGTACATTAATGGATCGTGATTCTAATCTTAAATTAGATCAAAATAATAAAATGTGTTTATTGTGAAAGGAGTTACAGTTGTTGGAATTGTAGAGGACATATTAAAATAATTGGGATGGACAAACAGAATAAAGTTGAATTGTTTTCTCACAGGTATTCCTGCAGTAATAGTGAGCCTGGTGCTGGTCATAGACAAAGATGCCTACGGCAGTCTTGCTGATGAAGAAATTGAAATGGTCCTTGATTCCACTGAAGCATTGTAAATACTGCAGTTCTGCAATATTACTGATATGAATACTGGATTAGAAATGTAATTAGTCTAATAAACAAATCAAGAGAGTGCTAATTTGCACTGGTTAGTTTGTATGGATGAATGCAAAATATAAAAATAATGACGCTGCTGTGTCCAATTTATTATGTGCGTTTGAGTTGATGAACTAGTCGTCTCACAGTAGAAGCTTGGCTAAATTAATGGCATTGATGGGATTGCTATAGCTCACTGTTTAAATTGCATTTTGACTTATCTAATTCTCCCTATCTTCCTACAGCTGTTGGATACAGAATGACATTGTCTTCTTTGTGACAGTGGTGGCATTTATTGGTCTGACCTTGTTGTGCAACATGTCTGTCTTCATCATGGTTCTGATCCAAATTAAACGGATTGGGGCAAATAAGCTTGCCGCAAACAGCCACGGCTCTGTGCTGGACTTGAAGGCGGTTGCCAGTCTCACGGTTCTGTTAGGCCTCACGTGGTCAATTGGCTTTTTTTCATTTGGGCCTGCCAGAGTAGTCCTGGTGTACCTGTTCGTTTTCCTCAACAGTTTGCAGGGTAAGACTGAGTTGTAGTTGCTATTAACTTGATACTATCTGCACAAGTGTAACTAATTTCCATTGCTTCTGTAAACATTTTTCCTAAATTCCAGTGATTTTATAATTTTGTTAGGGTTTTCTCATCTCACAAAGATTTTTCTTTTTAGAATTAGTACAAGTGTTAAGGCTAAGAGAAAAAGATGAACTAAAACACAAATTTATATCATTTTTAATGTCAAACTGAGTGCAATTGAACGTCACTGTTATTCTTCTTTTGTTTTGTTTTTTTCATCAAGGCTTCTTTGTGTTTTTGTTCCACTGCCTGATGAAGGAAAATGTGAGGAAACAGTGGAGAATCCACCTGTGCTGTGGACGTTTTAGACTCCGTGAATACTCAGGTAGCAGTTCATTTTGACATATAACAACACTGCAGCATAATAGCCACATGGTTGATAGGAAGCATTTTCAAGCTGCAGTTTTTTGTATTTCTTGCCTTCCGTGTTCAGACTGGAGCCGCTCTGTGACAGTCGGTGACCGATGCAAAAAGAAGAATCTCGTTAACTCGGATTCGGTCACTTCTGGCAGCTCTCAGTAGGTTTCTGGCTCCTCAGCAGCAGCAGCAGTAAACCAACACCAGGGGGCATGAGTGGACATCTGGATGAATTCTTCAAAATTTTCCGTTGTTGAATTACAAACAGAAAGCAAAAGGTTCAAAGACAAACTCCCCAGTGCAACTAATGTGCAGGGAAAGCTGAAATATGTCTCAGCTTCACGGAGAAAATGGGTCCAAAGCCATCACTTAAACTCGGTCATGAAAATTAAGCACTGCTTTGATGCAGAAAGTAAAAATCCATTAGAAATCAGTAAACGTGTAAAAGCCGTACAATTCATTTTAAAGGTTAAAATGATTCATTTTCACATCCATGCATTGTAGTGCTGTTTAAGAAATCTTTCTTTGTAACAAAGCAAAATGTAATGTTCTGCGCACTAGATTATTATCCATTTAAATGTCATGCAAATATTGGAGCGTAAAAGTCGTTTTTAAGGTTAATTTCAATAGGATTGTAATGTAATAGGGATTTAGCTGACTTCTTAGAGTATATTTTCTGATATCCTATACAGGATTTGTCACGGCTTACCACTGTATAATGACAGTTTAGCTCTCGGATCGTTCACTCGGTGCACCTTTGAGCAACAATGTTTTGTGTGTGCATGCAAGACGAGATTTAACCTATGACGTCATTTTATTCTGTAACTAAAATGAAATAAAACTGAGCACGTCTCATTGTTTAAATAAACAGAAATGGCTATGATTTAGTTTAGCTTGTACACACATTGTGTACATAGTTTAAACATTGCGTTCTGATGATAGTCTTGTGTTTCTCTGACAGTCGAAATGGCAGCACGAACTAAACTTACACAGATTTTGCTTTTATTTTTAGAGGGCAGAGAGCTCCATCTAAGTGATCTATTAAATTCACTGGTATTGTTTAAAAAATGAATTAAAGTTAGATTTTTCTGCTGCCTGATGTGTTAACTGGGAAACCTAAAGCTCAGGTCACTTACAAGCTACAGTTAAACTCAAAACCCTTTTTGAAACTTGGACTGCATAATGTTTTAATAGCTTGTCGTTCAGGTTCTGAGGAAACCTGCTCGATAGCATTCTGTTCATAGCTCTGTGTGTTCATGAGTGCTCACACGCCCACCCAGGCTACCACATCCAGTAACTTTAGAGGCTCTGCGAGGGGAACGTTTTGTCTTAAGCAGAAAAGAAAAAGACCAAACGCCTGGCGTTGGTTCTTGGAATCAAATAGACAACTCTGGTGTTTAAACAAAAGCCAAACGACATTTTTTTCCCAATTGCTGCTCATCATTACTTTGATCAACCAGTCAATGCTAGGTTGCAGTCCTTGCTCACCTTTGGTCATCATCAGGTCAGGTAAGAGAAGCAAGTTACTAAAAATATAAGTGGAACGTTTTTATTAGTTCAGTCATCTTACATGGAAGTTATTCTTCCTGTTCTCACAACAGGTTGACTGAGGTTTTTATACTGTAGGTTTATCTCAATCTTTGATACTTTTAAGCTACACTGACTGACTTTTTTTAACAACCCATATGCATTATTAAGTATTTCAGCCCCCTGATTTTGACATTTTTGATTGCACATGCATAGTTTATATATTTCTTACTACCAAGTATCATATCAAGTGATATGTGTTTTTGTTTTAATTTTTATTATTATTATTGTCATTCAGTGCATTGATTTTGTTTTGGTGCATTACTTGTTATCATTTATGAACCTTAAATTTTACATTTAGGTGTCCTTTACAATCTTGCTATTTGTGTTGAATGTTTTTACATGTTAATCATCATCACAGCAGTGCGTGGTGTGAGTCATAGGGCAGCAGGAGGACCTTTTGGCCTTTTTATTTCTGTGATCTTAATATTAAATAAGCGTGCTTGTGGTTTAAAAAAAATGAGCAGATAGGATGTAATATATCTGTCAGTGTTAAGTATATAATGTACGTGAATGTAAAAAAATAAATAAAGTGAAAATAGGTTTTTAAGCTTTACAATGATACTAACATATATAAGCTTTTTCATTCTCTAAACGCTCATAAGGTTTTGAGTTCCTTTTGTTTGTAAATAAATCAAAATTATGTATTATCTGTTCACCAGTCACAGCTGACCCATGGAGAGCAGAACAGACAGTCCGATCGCTGTTAGCGTGGAGGAGCACTCCAACTTCGTCATCCTGACATACTTCCAGGGGGACATTAACAGCATGGTGGATGCTCACTTCAACCGTGCTCTCAAGAAAGATTACGGTGCTAAGGAATCAGCAATAAAGACAAAGAAACACTCTAAAACTATTAAACTGGGTGAGAGTATAAACTTAACACTACATGGCCTCACTCTAACAGCCGAGTCAGCCAGTTTTATCTTCATTTTTTGACTGTCTGTCTTTGTCCCTACAGAGGACACAGCAAGCGCTTGTCAGGGCATGGCTATTGACTCCTACTCAATGTCACAGGTCTCCCCTGCATCACGTCTGCTGACCATCACCACTCCAAACAATACTTCTAGCTCCTGGTCTACATTCCCTACCAGGGCAGGAGAGGGCCCAGGGTTGTCGTCAATTGCATACTCCCTGTCCCCAGATGGGTTAAGTCTCACTGGTCAGCAGTATGCCTCATCCCTCCTCAATCTACTGCACAGCGACCGGGGTGAAATGGGACCAGTTGCCTCCAGTTCCAAGCCCGAGCTCCTTCCCAGCTGGACAATACCTCAAGGGTTTAGAGAGTCTGTGGACCCTGCTATAGGCTTTGAACCTGGTAATTCTGCAGCTGTAATACAGAATGTTTACAAAAGCTTCCACACAGGAAAATGATAGAAATCCTTCTTGGATACAGAATTGTCTTAGAATAAGGTTAAAAAAAAATCCCTAAGAGGTTCAAAATAAATAAATAAGGAAGTATAAAAGTAAATTCAGAGAAAGACAGGTTGCAATAATAATTAGTTAGAGTAGCCAATTAAAAACTTAAAAACTACTGCACTCACAGGAGCAATTAAATATTTTGAATTGACATACTTAATGTTTTCTGATTAGAGGATTTAAGATTTTCACTTATTTAAGATGATTATAATGGCTGTAAACTGTAAACTTCTGTGGTTCAGAAGGAGATTTCAAGTCTCTTTCTGATCAGTGCAGTTTTGTGGCATCTTTGCATTATTTTCATGATCTATTCCAAATTGCACTGTTCCATTATTTTTTAACAGGCTCCAGTATTTTGGATTTTGGCATGTATTCAGGAATATAAGTAAAAATACTTCATTTCACTAGTTTCCCCCAGTCCCTCAACTTAAAATGTAAAGCTTACATGCTTGAATGGCATTTGGGCTATTTCATAACCGAGACAAAAGCGACAGCCAAAACAAAACAAGAAAAATGAAGTTAACACATTAAATCAGTATCATTAGTATTCTTAAATTATCTCTGATACAGTTGAATTCACAGGAAAGGAAGCATGATTTATATTCCCATAACAGAACACCTGATCCACCTTTAATATGAATTATTTATTAAAAAGGTGACTACTGTGGAGGTCTGCAGATGTGCCAGAGATTATTATAGAGGTTAATATACTACAGTAGTCTAATTGTTTTTGGAGTTTTTTAAACCCCAAAAAGCTGACACTTAATATTATAGCTTCCTTACTTGTAGCACTTAAGAGTTTTGTGCACTTTATTATAAAAATTGCTTCTCTGTTAAAAATAAAACACATATAAATTTATCACATTATATATTGCAGCAACATTTTACTGAACATACTTCATTTTGCACATCCTTTAGAACTAAGCATTTGTCCTCCTTTTTTCAGGGCGGCATCTGGAAAAGAAGGACTTGCACTGGTACTGAAGGGAAAACAGCTTCATCTACCCTGTGAACCTGTGGCTCTGTAAAGCCACCTGTCTTTCTGTAGCCGTTTGTACTTGTTCGACGGGCCTGCAAGGATCATCTGAGAACGAACTGAGAGGAAAAAGCTGTGCGAAATGACCTCAGTGCCTTAGCATGTAGTAACTGGAATAATCTTTCTAAAAAAGAACAGTCTCTGACAAACTGGTTCTTCAAGTCCGTCATTCCAGAGCACTGTATGTGCTGCTGCTCTGTTTGTGGTGGAGTTGAATGAAGGCTTTCTCTTTCATTTTTTTGCGGGCATACTTCAGTAAATAGGCCAGTATTAAGAATGAACATGTTGTAAATGTAAGATTTTGACATAACTTCTAATTAATCAATTAAAGTTTGTTTGGATTGGACCTTTAGTTGAAGTGAAAATATTTTATGTACATAGGAACAGACGAATGAAGGATAATGGTACTGTAATAATTACATATTTTCTGTAATACTGTCAAGGTAAGGTGTCTGATGGTGTAACAAGAAATCAGATTTACACAGTAGACAAATAAAACTCTCAGATATCATCCAATGTTAAACAGACATAATATTTTCATTCTGGTTTGAAAAATAACGATCGTGCAACAGATAATCGTGTAAAATGAACAATGCTGACACCTTTTGGCATGTTTTATGGCTTTTGCAAGAGCATTTACCCAAATAATGAACTTAAACTTTGATTCTTTAAAGAACATTTGTTATTATATTTGTGTTGTTTTACTTAAATATAAGTTGTATGACTTTTAATTACAACTACAACAGCTACTTGTACTTTAATAAATGATGTGAATATTTCTTCAACTGCTGCTTCTGATTTACTTAAACATTAGTTCATATCACAAAAAGTATTATCCATCCATCCCCTTTATCCTTATGAGGGCTGTGGGGGGACTGGAGCCTATCCCAGCTGTCTCGGTGCGAGAGGCAGGGTGCACCCTGCACAGGCCACCAGTCTGTCGCAGGGCTAACACATAGACACAGACAACCATTCGCACTCACACCTATGGGCAATTTACAGTTTCCAGTTAACCTGTCCCACTAACTGCATGTCTTTGGACTGTGGGAGGAAGCCAGAGTACCCAGAGATAACCCACACAAACACAGGGTCACATGCAAACTCCACAGAGAAAGACCCCGGC